CGCTTGCCCAGCCCTGCACACAGGAGGTTTCTGTTAGTAGGCATGGAAAGCAGGGGGTACACACAGAGGAAACGTGTAACTGGGGTTGACAGCAGGGACACCCCTGAGCCCGGATGCCACATCACAGGTTCAGGCACAAGTGGGTCTTGCCCACGTGTGAAACCCGCCGAGGACATTTATAGTTCTTATCTGTGCAATGATTCTGCCTAACAGCCTGCCATGACTCAGTTCAAACTGTAATTCAAGTACAAAACCCATAGAGAAGGTGAAAAGTCCCTGTTTGATTTTAGAAACTAGAAATGGCAGTAACACAGTTTGCTGTTCTCCTCTGTACTGCACCCCAGCTCTGATCAGGCCCTCACCTCACCCCATGTACACAAACAAGTCACTGGCACTTCTGTTGGTGCCATGCTCCTCTCCAGAGCCACTCAGGAGCAGCACCCCCCAGCAGTGCTGTGAGCACACACTCAGCTCCCCAGCCCAGCATGGGCTGAGCAACCTCACGGGACAGCACGTCCCGAGTCCAGGACAGCTGCTCCTCCAGGAGACCCTGCTGCTCCTCCTGCTGCCAGAGCAAGCCACTCTGCCAGGCCCCCGTCTGGCACAGCACCCACACTCTGCCCTAGCAGCACATCCCTGCTGCCCTGGGGCAGGGTAAAACCTTCCCTCTGCCAACCCCAGCAGCAGCACGAGGGGATTTAACAGAACCCACCTCTTTTTAACCCACTGTCAGACACCACCACAGAGCCAGACACAACCCTGTGCTCCCTTCTCCTTCTGACCCACTACACACAGCCAGAATCTGACGTGGGCTTCTTCTCTAGTTACAGCTTCCTTGCACACTTCATTGTATGGCTTGTGTTAATTAATCTAACCGTAGGTTTGTAATTAATATTTCAAGACATTCGAGTTTACAGGTCAAACAAGATATCTGCAAATATGGAGCACACACTCCCTGAAACATGCCATCACCAGACTACAGCTTTAGTTCTGCTAAACTTTTAGGAAAGTTTTGCATGTAGGAATGCTTGACCTGAGAATAAAGAAGTGTTACCTTGGCCCATTCCACATGCAGTGGCTGCTAAACTACCCAGTGAAACGGAGAGTGCCTGAATGTATTCATGTACACCAGACCTTTAAACTTAAAATGGCTTGAACATTGAAACAAATCTGTCATTACAACTTGGTCAACATAACACAAGATGGCTTAAAAATGGAAAGATCCATAACTACAACTTAAATAACAATTAACTGCAGCAAGGAATGAGCCCGGACAGGAGCCAGGCAAAAATCCTAGCACAGGGAAGCGACACAGCTCGCTTAAAAATGGAAAGATCCATAACTACAACTTAAATAACAATTAACTGCAGCAAGGAATGAGCCCAGACAGGAGCCAGGTAATCCCAGCACAGGGAAGCAACACAGCTCTGCTGAAAGCACCAGGAGCCTGTCTCTCTAAACCAGCTGAGGGTACAGCTCACTGCAGGACTGCCCATCTTAGCAGTAATTCACAGGGAATCTGTGTACTCTGACAGTTTATTGGGGTGTCACTGTTGACTCGGGACAGGCAGCAGCTGGTGTGTAGGGGGTTCACTTAGGAGGGAGCACACAGAGGTCTGACTGCCCAGGGGCCATGGCTGTGCCACCTAGAGGGGATGAGTCCTGATGGGGACACAGGCTGCTGAGGGAAAACCAGAGGGAAGTGTGACCATAATAAACAACTGCTTCTGTACAGAGACAAGATAAGACACACAAAGTATGGGCAGCAGCAGATCCTAGGAGCAGTCTGGAAGAGGAGAACCTTGGAACTGAGATAATTCATCAAATTCATTGGTGTTCAACTGAAACCCATGGTATAAACAGTGAGAACAAGCAGCTTGTCCAGATGAGCACACCAGTGAATGGGCATTCCTTACAGCTCCTTCCCCAGGTTTCAGATGCACAAAGTGGGAATGCAAGAACTAGAATGGACACATACATAAATACACCTCTGTGTAGGGAGACAGAGAATAGGCCTCATTTAAAAGTACAGAAAGAAAATATTTCACAGGCTTAAACAAGAGCTTGTGTCTGTGTATCTGAGAGCAGCCATTCAAGAGAGAGATGAACAAATGCATGAGCAGACAGAAGTGCCACCAGTCTGGCACAGAACTACAAAAGGCTCAGGGGGATAAAACACCAAAGACACCAAAGAGATATCAGGGCTGAGAAATGAAATTCCTTCACTTTTAGATCAGAATGCTAGGAGCAGTAAGTAAATGATGTGAGTGCAGCAGTCTGAGGATAAAACTGAAGACAACACAGCCAAAGGGGAAATTAAAACATCCCTTGACCTCTTAAGTTTAGACTTGGGAGTATGACAATAATTGTCCCTTCCTCTTTCACATGGGAAGAAACTAATGACAAATAAAGACAGGGTGAAGAAAAGATATTAGAAAGGAAGATGTAATAATGGCTCATTTCTGTAGGAGAAAACGTAAATGGTGACAGAGGAAGCTGAAGAAAAAAATTTTTCATTTGCTCTTATTATACCCTTTCTCAGTAAAATCTGCCCCCCTTAAAAAAGAACCACCCCAAAACCAACCCTCCACATTATCTGAATATCCTGAACTTGCTTAAAGGAACTGTCAAGAGGACAACTAGCAGTCACAACCAGCAAGTGCAGACAGCAATTTCTTTGTGCAGTGGCCCAGAGTCTACCCTTCAGTCATCACTGTGACCCTGCAGGCCAGAGGCAGGTACCAGAAATGAGCTGATGCTGGTGCCAGCTCTCCCATACCCACTTTATACTCAGTCTATGCCTTCATTTTGCCTTTTAAAGGATCTTCCCAAACCTCACAGCAACATCAGTTCTACCCATTTTATGTTTCGCTGCTTTTTAAAATGAAGGAAGCTCCCAGAACTTCTTACCTCCTAAACCAGGGTGTAAACCTTGTGGACCTTGGTTTTGCTGCTGCATCACCATGAAGTTGGGGGGTACGTTCCCCTGCTGCACCATGGGATTACGACTGGGAGAGCTGACAGGCTGCTGGAAGCCCTGGGGAAGTGTGCTGCTCTGGGGAGGCCTTGGTCCCATCTGCGGCTGCGGCTGGTTAACTGTTGGAGATGATGCAGGAGATCCCTGCTGGAAGGAGGAGGGAGAGGAAGCAGGAGACTTGTTGGTCAGGTGGGGCTGTTGTAGTGGTGTAGGAACCCGTGAGGGCCCTCCCTGAAGGCTTTTCATTTGAGGAGCAGTAAACTGGCCAGGATTGCTCATCTGGGGAAAGTTTGAGTGAGCCTGGGAAGCTTGCTGGCTTCCAAAAGGATATGGAGGAGGAGGATGAGTAGGAGTTTGCACTGTTGCTAGAGATGGTCTTGCTTGAAGCTGCTGCTGCATTTGTCCAGGTAACGGGGCCTTTTTCCAACCCTGGTTTACTGCCAGTGTACTCAGTGCTCCCTGGGTTGGAGGAGGCTGAAGTGCTCCAGAGGGAAGCTGGTTCCAGCCAGGGGGAACTGGAACCTGTGCTGGTGAAGTAAATGAAGGTCGAATACCCTGCTGGGGCTGCTGGTGTGGCTGGGGAGGACGTGTCTGCAGCTGGGTCTGCTGCTGTAGCTGCTGAAAGTTGGCTGAGTTCATCTGCCTGTTTACAGGAACTGACTGCATTGAGTGAAGCTGGGGAGCTAAGGATCCAGACGGGTGATTTTGCTGCTGGATATTTAGCCCAGATAAGAGTGGGTCCATTGCATCTATTAAAATAGCAAAGAAAAGTAAAAAAATAACTTACTGTAGACAAAACCCACCCCAAGACAAGAGAGGGTTAATTACTTGCTTGCATTTGCTTACTCTGCAGAAAAATTCACACTCCAGTGCTCCAAATTCTCCAACAGACAGAACAGGCAATGCTCTTAAAGTTTTCAGAATGTTTGGGAACCCTGGGCAGTCATCAATTTATCTCTACAACGAAGCAAGACAGCTCCACAGCACTTTTAGCTGTGAACTCATGTAGGGCTTCCACACAACCAGGATCACGGAGTGGCTCGAGCTGAAGGGACCCATAAGGATCAATGAGTCCAACCCCCTGCTCCTCACAGGACAACCTAAAACTAGACCCTCTGACCAAGAGCATCCCCCAGACACTGGTGAAGAGTGAACTGTGACAGCCCTGGTGCCCTGACCACGTCCCTGGGGAGCCTGTTCCAGGGACCAGAGACCCTCTCAGGGAGGAGCCTTTTCCTCACGGCCACTCTGAGCTTCCCCTGAGGCAGCTTCATCCCATTCCCTCTGTGCTGTGCTGCTCACCAGAGAGAGGAGACCAGCACCTCCCCCTCCACTGCCCCCCCTGAGGTGGGGACACACCAGTGCCGTGGAGAGTGGGACAGTCACCCCCTCGACCTGCTCATGATGCTGTGCTCGCTGTGCCCCAGCACACAGCTGGTCCTCCTGGCTGCCAGGGCACACTGCTGACTCCTGTTCAAGCTGCCACCCACCCAAAGCCCCAGACCTCTTACTGCAGGGCTGCTCTCCAGCCTCTCCTTATAACCCACCTGTTGGGACTACTGTCCCTACCAGTTCAAAAAAGTGGCATGATGAGGAATTAAAGTAGGATCATAAACTAATATTCCAAGGACTTTTAAAACATTTCTGCAAAATGCTGTCTGAGAGAATAAATACTGCAGAGAGCTACAGAAGCTGGCAACTACTGCCACCATTTTATGGAGAGACAAGTAACAACCCCTCCTCTATTGCTGTAATCCTAAAATACATGTAGCTTGTACTGGGAGAATTGTAAAGAATAAACCTTAAACTTTCACACCTCCCAGATCCCAAATCCTTGAACTTCCAGCCTACCTACCCTTCCCAAAAAGCACTTGTGCAGTCTGGTGCATTTGGTTCTTACTGGAGACCTCTGCCTCATTCAGCTGACCCTTCTCTCACCCTCAGGTAAACACAAAGCTCAGTCACCACAGTTCTACCAAAAAATATCACTGCAGCTGCTCAATATATTTGAACAAATACCAAACAAGCCGGTGACTTATCAGGCACCCAAATTATCTGAGAAGTTTTTACCAGGTTAACAGGGGCAGGGAGGGTTCCATGGAAGGAGTAACTCCCAGAAAGGGCCAGCAAACACTCCAGGCCCACCCTGGAGCACACTCATGGGCACAGGCTCAAGCCTGTGCTGAAGAACAGAAATTCAGGAATGTTTTCAGGTAAGTACTGTGACTAAACTTTACCACCTGGCTGTGAGGAAGGCCGAGGTGTCCTTGGCTGCAGCTCAGCTCCAGCACCACTTGCCACTATAGAGGAGGGCACATTTCCACTCTGGGACATCATGACAGCTGTAGCATTGCTCATTCTTATTAAACCTTAACAAATAAAAATAAAAATTATCAAGTCTGGCAGTTTTTACATCGGGAGGGATTTTAGATCTTTTTTTCACAATAAAAAATTTGTTAATAAAACATTTTAGACTTTTAAGAACTGTTTGTCCAAAATAACCTGAGGACACAACTGGTAATAAAACAAACAAGTTAAGGTCACGTTGAAGCTTTTCTTTTAGCACCAAACCTTTAAAAAGGCTACAGGAGTAAATGCTACCAACCCATGAATTATTTGAGCCTGCCTTGCCACTAAAGTCACCATGCTACACGTTTGTATCAAAGTTACAAAGGTACTAAGGTGTTTTGCAAAATCTGACTCTAGAAAGTGACTGAGGTGCTTGTAAGAGAGAAAAAATTCACTGTTTCACTACCACAGGCTGCTATTTTATGAAAAGGTTTACATTCTTGACCTGTTGGTTATGTTGTTATTGTATTTATACTTTTTACATCTACACTGTTGACCTGCAGGCAGGAAGGGAAGCTCACAGTGAAGATCAGAGCAGCCACCTTCAAAGTAAACCTTTCTTCAAATGTGTTCTATTTCCTTTCAAGCACAATGATTTAACCAGCAATTAGTCAGGTTTATATAGAGGTGAAATGCTCCTTCCATTCATTCTCACCAACAGCCACACATGCATCTTACATTAACTCTGATAAAAAATGCTCCCAGACTTTTTAGCTGCTTTAAATCCTATTTAGTAAAACACTAATTAATTTTGCTTTATGATTCAGCTATTAAATTTCCATAGTAGCTTTCTTTTAAAAATTTCCTTTATAAAATCTGAATTTTGTAGTTAAAAATTTCTTATAATGCCTATACAACACTCTAAAATGTAGAGTTTTATAAAACTACCTCTCCACAAAAATTAATCCCCTATGATCAGGTCTCAAAATTTTATCAGAAAATAAAGAGACTAACAAGGACAATGTTCTGTCCTTTCTGTAAGTAAAATGGATTTAGTCTAAAGTACTTTATTATTGCACACAGAAAAAAAGGCTTATGCTCATTTTCACAAAGGCAGCCAAACAGAAAGCTGTGATAACTTGTGCCCATTTCAAACTGAATTCACTATATGGGACTCATCTGCTCTAACAGCCTTTATCTTAAAAAAACCCAAACAAGTCCTGAAACACCAAAACAAAAATCTAAACCACCAAAGGCTCAGAAGAAGCCAAACCAAACAAGTCTGCCCCACCCAAATCACTCCAGGGTTAACAGGACAAAACGCAGCCAACTCTTTAGTTTACGGAACGTTTCTGTACTGTCATAGCCCGTCCCACAAGAGCACACATCAGCCAAAATGGCACTTACAGTTCTGCACACAAAGCTGCTACAATCAGTGAAATGTTATCATCAGCTCAGCAGCAACCTTCAAAGTGTGTGAAGCCAAAGAAGCAAAGCCCCAAGGCCCTTACCTTGCCCCCCCTGCATGGGGAAGCCCGTTTCCATCCGCACTGCGCTGCCTGCTCCCAGGGGCCCGTTGATCCGGACATCCTGGCTTCTGTTCTGAGCTAAAGCCAAATTGATAGCACCTTCCCCTAAAAATAAGGCACAGTCTGGGTCAGCTGAGTGGTACATGGAGAAGCAGAACACAGACATTTCCTAAAGGACATTTAAAAGATGTCAAGAAGAAACAGACTTTACCTATAACACGCACTTCAGAAGGATAATTATGCATCATGCTACCCATATCTTCTGGATTTCAATTTTAAGAAAAACAAACACTAGGACAAGCATTAAAGACCCCTGGTTTCATCCTGAGTGTGCTCTTGGACAACTGTCCAGAATTTTAACTGTGAAATGCACTGAAATCTTGTTTTTAAGAAGGTCTCATATGAAACAATTAGGGGGAGAAATAAAAACAGGGCACATTTTGCAAGCTAAAACTCACACATTTTTCAGGGAGTTTCCTGATGCTCAGAGCATGGTTTTTAGCCAGCATTTTTACTATCAAACACATTCTTGAAAGAATAAAAGTCTTGAGCTATCTTCTCACTGAAGTCATTCTCCAAATTAGTGAAATAGCAGTTTTACAACATTACCCAAGTACAAAGCTAAAACTCACACATTTTTCAGGGAGTTTCCTGATGCTCAGAGCATGGTTTTTAGCCAGCATTTTTACTATCAAACACATTCTTGAAAGAATAAAAGCCTTGAGCTATCTTCTCACTGAAGTCATTCTCCAAATACTGAATTAGCAGTTTTGCGACATTAACCAAGTACACAAATTCACTTGTGGAGGATATTTCAGTCTTAGCTTAATGCCTTTGGAAGCAAATTAGCTGCAAAATACCTTCGATCTGAACTGAGAGAATCCCCAGGTCACGGAGCTGCTGGTTGTTGCTCTGGGCCAGGATCCGCAGGCGCTCGGCAGCCTCCCGGGGTATGTTGAAGGTAACGCGGACGCTGTTCCAGGGCTCTATCTTCTGCAGCTTCAGCTGCTTGGATTCTGGAAAGAAAAACAGACTCAGCACCAAGGCAGCTTTCAAACAGGTATCTTGGAATATTTTGGTAAAAAAGCACAGTTGAAAAAACTGAAACAATGATTTGGCTTTGAGAATTATCAGTGGTAGAGGAGACTGCTCCAGCACAGCGTCCACTGGCCCATGCTGCCAGACTTCAGCCAGTTCCCAAAAACCAGCAGTATAAGAACCACCCAACTGACAACCAATGCAATGGCCAACACAATCTTGTGACAATATTACTCAAAAATTAAAATATTCTGTGGAGAAACTACTCTGGAAAGCTATGGAAATATAAAACAGATTTAGCAAATCTGTTAGTGAACCAGACTGGATGTATGAAAAACCTGACATGAATGAAACCCTTATCTTAAAATATTTACTCTACAGATGCTTGTGAAATTATTTTTTTTTCATAAAGCCAGTGCCAACAGAGTCTTGGTAGTATTTCATTAATTTCTGCCATATTATTTAGGGTTTTTTCTGAATAGGCATGTTCAATCCACTGCAAAAATCCTATCAAAGTCATGCAAAATATATAGCTGCAGGTTTTCTGAAAACCTATTCTGTATGTGAGTGTAGATCAGGTGTTTTAGAAAGAGCAGGTGAGAACTGGCAAAAGGGCAGAGCAGTCACCTCGATGTGTTTATCTGAAGTGGCACCTAACTGAACTGTTCTACAAAATGCATTTCAGATAATTAAAAATATATTCCTAGCACAGGTTTATAAGCTTCCAGTTTCTAGCTCTCTGAAGAGGAAGTCCCTCTGAAAACAGTAAACACTGCCCCAAATTTCAATCAGCTTTTTATTCCACTGTAACATGAGATTTACTAGAAGCTTGCTAACTTTTTGATTCTGAAAAACAAGTCATTTAAAACCACCAATAACTGCCTCCTCTTCAGGAATCTCTTGTCCTTAAGTAATGCCCCTTCTGCTGCTACAGTAATGGTGTCACTGAATTCAACCTCCTCCTATCTCTAAACACATTTTTGGCTGGAAACATGGCAGGATTAGATTTAAAATCTCCTTCTGTGGAGGCCTGAACATTCCCATACTTACTGTTATTAGTGTTCCAATATCTGACATAAAAATTGCATTATCAACTTCATTATTTCTATAGATCAGTGCTCGAGTCTCCTGTTTTCAAATGCTGTATCTGCTAAGCCTAAACCAATGTTACTAACTGGACATTCTGAATACCCTATTTTGCTCTGGATCAGTTTAAATAACTTGTCACAGGGATCATTTTCACATTAATTTGACACCAATTTTCAAAATTTGCTTTCTGCTGTCTCAGCTGAGGTCTGAATCACATTTATTAATCATGCCATTAATATTTAAAACAAGCCCAGGAGGCAGATGCCTCCATTTAACAAAGGTGACTCTGGACAGCCAGAGCAGACTTATTTCCATCCCAAAACCATGCAATTTGACTGTGGCATTGAAACAAATGGTATTAGTAGTGAAAAACACCCCCTGGGTGGACAAGCCTGGTTCCACTTTCATCTAACACAGCAATGCAAAATGGAGAGTAAAAAAGACAAGTAAAACATGGGAATGGAACAGGAATAAATGAACTCACTAATGAAATTGGTTTTAAACAATGAAACAACTGCATAAACTTGTACCCTGTGTCTCTAAGAGCAGCTCCCAAATTTTCTAAGAATAATCCTAACAAATTTTATTACTAACTAGGTAGCTCAAACCCAATACAATCTATTTCTTTGTACAAGCACCCTGACTACACAAGTATTTTAAGGACATCTGAAAAATGAGAGGAAGGTACATTACCCATGTGTAAAAGGCCAGGCACATTCTCCAGTATGGTATCTAGTTTCTGCTCAAAGTCTCTGTCACCTATATTTCCTTGAAAAGCTACAAAGATCGTGGAATCCTCAGGAGCAGCCTCCTGCTTCAGTTCATCTTCCTCCAGTCCCGAGTCAAAATCCACCTCTAAGTCTTCCATAGCTGAGGAGTACAAGGAGGCATATGTATCCTGTGACTTTGGTAGATCACCCAAAACCATTGTTTCCAATGGGAGTGTGTCAGACGTCAAGATGATGCTTGGAAGGGAAAAGAAATAATTACAGTAAGTCTAATGCCAAGTGTGTAAAGACACCAACAGCTGCTTTCAACAGCACATATCACTGCTGGAAAGACTTACTGGGTGACCCAGTGCTAGGGTCTGTGAGACAAGCTGAGGGACTTGGAAAGGGGTGGCCATTGCAGGGTCCCAGCTAGCCATCCACCAGGACAAGCAGAAGTGGCTTCCTGGCAGAGTCCTGCTGTGCGTGGCTTGAGCAGTCCAGTTGGCCTGAACGACAGCTGGGGAAAGGCAGGCAGAGGGGAAAATCACAGTGATAAAATCAATGACATTCATCCCCTGTGCTACAGAGGACAGGCAAGAACCCAGCACCAATTCAGCAGTGCCTGGCTCCCAGCAAGACTGTAATTACAGAAAGATAGGGGCAGCACCACGTTTAGTTTAAGGACTGCAGATGCAGTAGGTGCTCCCTTGTGCAGTAAGGCAGCAGGAAAGCCATGGCTCATTTTTACCAGGGAAATTTAGCATTTGACAAATATTTTACTTGCATCCAGGAAAATCTCAGGCATACTATGCCTTCTTTTTGTAAGTTTGTAAAGATTTAGGTGTTTTCAGCTGCTTATACACATTACAACCTCAAATTTTCTCCCCCTGTGCTAGCCCACAACTCCCCCCATGCCCCTGAGCCTGGGTAAGAACAAATTCAGTAAATCAAGTCCCACACTCGATGGTTGTGACTTCATAAACTGTCTAGGCTTTGCAGGAAGTTTTGCCTGACACTATGCCACTAACCTAAGCTATGACATGCAGAGGAGTCCAAGCTCCAGTGGAGGCTGTCCCTGTGCCTGTGGTGAAGCCTGGCAGGGGGGGGTGAGGGTGTCCACTGTCCCAGCCACTCAGGTGGCCAGGAGGGCTCCAGCAGCAGCTCCTCGGGCCAGCCCTCCACCCTCACAGGCCATGCTGCACAGGCATGGCTCCCAGATTGAAACCAGCCACGCCAGCAGCCAACGCTGAGGTCAAAACCAAAACCAGGGCCCTGCTCCTGACCACTGCTGTCAAATCAACTGTTCAGCCAGGACTGTCAAGGCCTCCTAACTCCAGAGCTGTTGGAGCTCACACACCCCACCCAGAACGTTCCCTTCAGGACCACATACCCCTGAACTGGATACAGGTTGGGGTTTTGGCAGAGGTTCAAGTTCCCAACACAAATTAAAACCACAGCTCTGAGACTAAAGGTGAGCTACAAATACGGGCCAGAAAACAGCCTTTTTTAATAACAAGATAGGAGTATGTTAGACAAGCTGAGATTCAGCTCTGCACTGTTTGCACGCTCACAGAACGTTGCCCAAGGGACAATGTTACAGATGGACAAACAGGGACTCAGAAGTCCCAGAGTGCCCCCAGCTCTGGCCAGCTCGACGTACACAATCTCTGTATTTCACACCAGATGTTTGGGTTTTTTGCTCCCCTGCAACCCTGCACACTGAGCAGGCTAAATGGCACCAACGACCAATCAATCACACACAGTTACACTCCTCATGCTGCAGCACCAGCCCCTCATCCCCAACAACTCAAATCTTGACCAAAATCAATCCTAATTTTGTCTTGCAAGCTCTTCTGCAGTCCTGCAACAGAAAGCAAGTGAAAACATTTCACACTCATGGATCTATTTCCATAGTGCTTCTGCAAGTTATTTACTGTCACCATGGCAACTGTAAAGATGGGGAATAGACAAAAATTCTAAAATTGCAACACCAGGTGAAGAGGGAGACACTGAAATCCTCTTTTTGTCCCCAGACTCCGTGCTGCTCAGCTCTGCACCTACAGCACAGGTGGGAGTGTTTGGCACCTGCACTCAGTTAAACTACTCACTCTCCCATCAGGTGCCCCAAAAATGAGAATGACAATTAAGAAGCATCTGGGAAGAGGTGTTTTAATCGACTTCCACACATGACTTCTTGGACAGGGAACTTCCTCACTGGAGCTGGCTTTACACCAAGCAGGAGAGAATTCCCTCTCCTGCATTCCCACATCATTCAGTACCCACATGCTGGCTCCAGAAAGGAGCTGGGACTCCTACACAGATAATCTTCTTAATGACCAGGCACAGTCATTCTGTGCACTGAACGAGGCAAGCATCCTGGGAGGTATAAGCACTGTATTTTGAAGAAAATCACATTGAAAATTATTTCTCTGAAAATGTTGAGTAAGTTTTTCGAGGAGAGCAATCTCAGCTCAATACACAGGCAGCTCTGGGTTGGAAAAGCACCATTACTTGGAGGGGATGGAGTGTTCCACCTGCAGCAAGAAACACGAGTACTTCTGACAATCCCTGACACCAAAGAAATAAAAGTTTCTCATTAAGAACAGAAACATTTCAAATCTTTTTTTTTTTTAGCATCCATCTTCTCTGTGGAAGAGCAGAAGCCTCCCAGACTGCTTAAAAGGTGGTTTTAAAGACCTCACGAAACACTGCAGCTGAGACCAGGTTCCACCAACCTCACCTCAATGAGCTGAAATCTGACAGGGTTTGTTGAACTTATGGCCCTTTGTGAACACTATTAAAACATGGTTGGATAAATCCCAAAGGACCACAGGCCTTGTTTCATTTGACTCAGAAAATCATAGGACTGCAGGAAAAGCTTAAGTTAAGGGAAATTGAGCTTTAAAATTTATTTTCTGCACAAGAACATGTAGCTCCAGCTCCCTTTGCTTTTTTTTCTCTTGCATTACACTCCTCAAGGATCTCTGCCACATCCATCTTCCTTCTCTCCCTCTCAAACACAGGCAGCTTAGTCTGATCCTATATCCAGGTATAATTTATCTCAAGTATGACAGGAGGAAGCAATGATTTGCAAAATCTTCCTCTTCAGGCAGAGTGCAGCACGCCAGCCATCCCAAACCAAATGAATCCCAGCTGCAGCCCTGGTCCCAGCAAATTCCCTAATCTCCTGGCTCTAGGGTGACTGCCATAAATCAGGAGCCAGCACGTGACCACAATTAGTGTGTACTTTAGCTCAACACCCCTCCACATGGACACCCAAGCCTGTAGCATGAGCACATGCAGGTGGAACTCTGGTCATTCAACCACTCCAGCAAACCAGATCAGCCCCCAGCAGGCTGTGGAGTATCTCTGGTGAGCAAGAACCACACCTGGCCTGTCTGCACTGCCACAGCACTTCCCACCACCCTGAGCACCCACGCTCACCTGGCAGCACAGCAAGGTCTCAGAGTGTCATGCTCCATGCAGAGAACACACAAGGTCTCCTCCCTGTCCCCTCTTGGTTTAGAGTTTCCAATTCTGTATTTCCCATTGCACAATTGTTTCTGGAAACTCAGAGCAAGTTCAGTGTGACCACGTGGCAACCCCCTACCCATGACTCTGGCCTGGGACAGGCTATAGCAGCATAAAAAGTGCTACCCCTGTTTATAATAAAGTTGGTCTTATTCAGTCTACTTATGAACAGTATGAAAGTGAAGTAAGAGAGGTGGGGATAAGTAGCCAGCTAACAGACTGTGGTGGGTTAACCCTGGCTGAGCACCAGGTGCCCACCAAGCGACCCTATCACACTCCCCCTTTCCTCTCTCTCTCTGCAGAGCAAAAGGGGAAAGGAAAATAGGTGGAGACCTTATTTGCCTTGTGGGTAAAACCAAGGGCAGTTTAATGGAAAGCAAAGCCAAGCAATGCTGTGTGTGGAAGCAAAGAGAAAAAAACAAAGATTTAAAAATCCCCTCCAGTCCCTGGGAGGGTCAGGATTAGAGCAAAACCTGAAGCAGGCAGTTGTCACTGGCTGGAGAGCAGCTGAACACTGGAAAGCAGCAGGCTCTGCTCTGCCAGCACCACCAGGTGGACGTGCTGGTGCCTGGGGTTAAAGAAATGCAGAGAGGAAAAAAAAACCCTATAAACCCCAGAAACACTCTGATTGTAACACTCATTTTACTGCAAATTTGTTAACAGTGTCTACTCCTCCTACAACTGTTTCAGCTGCTTTGTTGCCTAGCATAGCAATCCCAGAGCTTGGTACATCTGACCAGCCAGTAAACCTACACCCACCAACCATCCCACCATACAGAGATTAAAACAATGTCATTATTTTTGGCAAAAATATACAAAAAAGACTTTTAAACAAATTATAGCCAAGTGTTATATTGTCACAGGAGGAGATTAAATAAGGTGAAGAATCACTATTACAATTCAAAAGAATACCTAAAAATAAACACGCAGGAAAATTTCCTCTGGAACAACTTAGGCAGGGGTAGTTCCAGTCATCTAGAACTTCAGACTCTTGCATTAAAGAGGGATGACACCAGAAAAGCACCTCAGGTGTCCTCTCTGAGAGGAAGGTCTGAGAGCAGCTACAAACCCCATGGGGAATGCCCATAACCCTCTATGGCAGACAGAGATCAGCTCTGGAGACAGCCCAGCCCCCTGGACACACACAGACCTTAGAGGCAAGGACCCATCAGGGGGACAGGCAGGAGGAGAAGGATCAGAACAAGAGGCACTCAAACACAGCACATGCTTACCTTACCTCAAGTCCCCAGCTTCAGCGTTTTGTGGTGTGCAACAGGTCTTCAGGTAATGCCAGACTGGTCAACATGGTGAAAGAGCAACTCCCCAAATTGTAATCCTGAAAGAAAACCATCACATTCATCAGACAATGACACCAAGTAACAAAAATCCTGAATATAACAACAGTGAATACCTTGATTTTTAACAGGCAGTTTGCACCAAATCCAACTCTCTCCTTAGTAATGTAAAAAGCACTTGTCACCATCTTCAAACACAAACAGCAAAAACTGAATCAAAAAAATATCAACCTTTTATGAGAGGAAAAGACATGAATATTCTGAATATTCCCCTTGGCTGTAAATAACATTTTATTTTTCTAAACGTGCAAGTTTTATCTAGAATAATGTCTTTAAGTCTTGAGATAAACTCTTGTAGATCGAATTCATCCTCAGAGAAGAGAAATGGGCAC